AGAATATTTTCATCACCTGCAAAAAAGAAATCCCGTAGCCATCAGCGGTCACTCCCCAGTTCCCCTTCCCCAGCCACTGGCAACCAGCAATCTGCTTTCTGTCTCTATAGATTTGCCTCTTTGTGGACATTTCATATTAATGGAATCATACAACCTGTGACCTTTCATGTCTGGCTTTTTTTACTCAGCATGCTGTTTTCAAGATCTGTCCATGTGGTAGCACGTGTCAGGATTTCATTCCTTTTTTATGGCTGAATACTATTTCGTTGTAGAGATATGACTCCTTTTTTTAATCTGTTCATCCACTGATGGACATTTGGGTTGTTTCCACTTTTCAGCAGTGCACTGAATCTTATTCTCTTTGCTGTCAGAGGTAAAGCTGTCACATAAGCTTCCACTATCTGAATTTAAAAAGAAGTGGAAATTTTGGGTGGAGAGAGCGTGGTCTATTCCGGATGGTGACAAAACCCACTTCATCTGTGGTAACCATTATAGACAACATTCTGACAAGTTTTTCCATAGATACTGCAGGGGTAAACAAAATATTTGTATCTCCAAAGAGTGTGTGACTTCAAGTGAAAATTTTTGAGCAGCAAATGCCACAGGATTAGGGGATAATCTTTAGCTTTCATGTTCTGCCAATGAGATGGCATTGAGTTTGTAGATTCCCAGGCATGACGGAAGCTGCGTCTCAGCCTTTGTGTGTGACCTGCTTTTCACTCCATAAACAACCAATTCAGACCCATGCCTATCAGAGTTTCAGCATAACTTCTCTTTTTCCCACAGTCCAAGCTGTTCATTTCCTCACTGTATTTTTATGAGCCAGAAAAACAAGAACTATCACTGAACTGTCAATGTTCGTTTTACATTATAAGACCCAAGATGTCTTTGTCTTTTCCTAAATCAAACTGAATTTTTTAAAGTCCAATAAAACATTTATCTGGTTGACATGAGACCTCTGAGTTCAGGCCTTCCTAAATGGGAAGGGGAGGGGGGAAAACCTCAGCTGCATGTTTTCTTCTTCCAGTCATTTACTATAATTTTTAAATTACCACACAGACCAAAAAAGAAAGGAGAGTCTTAAGGTTGAGAACTTTATCACCAAGAAAAAAACATTTACTGAGCACCTACTTTGTGCCAGGAAGAGTGATGAGTTCCATGGTCTCTTGTAATCTAGTTGAAAAGATATAACCATTAAAAATCATCATAATTTGCCAGAGGCTGTTGGGGGCAAAGAATGGGGGGGGGTGATTGTAACGGGTATGGGTTTCTTTTTTGGCAAGGTGAAAATGTTCTCGGATCAGATAGTGGTGATAGTTGCACAACCTTGTGAATATACTAACAACCACTGATATGTACATTTTAAAAGGGTACATGAATTTTCTGGTATGTAAACCATATCTCAGTAAAATTAAAAATTGAGATAATAATAATGCCCTATCATTTTATTACAAATAAGAGTGGGAAAAAAAACATGCCTGGGGGTAGAGTAGAAGATAGCTTTTCTTTCAAATGTGAGTTTTGCTCCTAGGCAAAAACTGTAGTATATTTCCCTA